TTTTTCAAATTTATAATATATATTTTAAAATTTTAAAATATAAAAAATATTATTTTAGTTTCTCACATTTAAAATTATTTTTTTTTAAGTCTATGAAATTACAACACAGAATTAATTAAAAAGTTTGATAGCAAATATTTTACGCAGAAAGTAGTTTCATTTTTTTGAAGAGGTCTGAAAGCAAATAATTTCTTGTCATTTTATTCATTTTGGATGAAAATATATATCACCAGCCAATAAGTGGTACTGACTACCAAAATGCAAATCTTAAACCAAAACTTTTATGACAAATTACACTTGAACTTATGAATACAACATTTAAAATATGAAAGCAAAAGTGATGTTACAAACATAAACGACTAGGCCGGTTTCACGGTGAGGTTTGAGTAACAGCATAAAAACTTGAAGTTTAATTCTCATCGCTGTTCTATAATATTTTCTACTGATTAAAAAAAACAGAGAACACACAAACATTACAATCGGCACTACTAGATCCTCTTTAGATCCGAGCTAAGCGATTGATATCAATAGGGTAAGCATCTGATGGAGATTGAGCATTGTAAGCTCTCCTTCCAATGACAGTATTGGCAGCTTCAGTTGGATGAAATGCATCCCAAAACAGGTAATCCCTCCTGTTTCTGCATGGGGGTTGCAGGGGCAGACATGTAATTTGACCATTGTTCCTTCCTACCCCACAGCAACCAGCATTTGTGACTCTGAATCCTGAAAATTGAAGACCACATATGAGCAAATTGTGCATGAACTATGTCCAAATTTTGACTAAACAAAATTACATCAAATGTTTAGGCACAAAAAATATAGTTACCAAAGGATGATGGGCTGTTTATGATATCTTGAAAGATACCATAAGTGTTTATATAGATGAGTTTTGCATTTGGAAGCTGGTTGTTGAGTTGATCAACAAGAGATCTCAATCCATTGTTGAATAATTGGTTTGCAGAATTGATTCTTGCCACACATGTTCTACCATCTGGACTGTTTTGGGCCAATTCATTAGGGCTACAACCTATTTGACCAACACCAAATAAGGCCATTTTTCTTGCCCCATAGTTGTACAGAATCTGAATCACAAGCACAAAACAGTTAGGCTTTCAGTTTGGTAACCTTATTTGAACTTCTAACTTGCACAACGTCAAACCATAATCATCTTTTTTTTTTTCTTCTGTTGTTTAATTACTGTTAATACTATTATATAGTTTTGGACTTTGCAACAAAAAATGGCTATAGCTGGAGCTGTATATGGAAATTATAAAAGCTAATTGAAAATGGTACAAGTGTAAGGGAAAAAAACTGAGACAAACCCTGATTTGTTGAGCGTATGCTTGAATAAGAACATCAGCATATTGTTGTGGTGTGTATTGCCTGCTGCTGGAATAGACTAGAGGCATGAAATAGTTGTTAAGGTAATCATTGCTACCCAATCCAATTGAATAAATGCACTTGCTCAGGTAATTTGCAGTGGTGTTCTCATCTCCTAACAAATTTACCATCTGGGACACTGTCCTTTGGTAATTTTGCACCTGCCCTCTAAAACTGATACGGGCTCCCTACAAATGAACAATTATACAAAATAACCATATGGTTATCAAATTAATGAAGAGGAAAAAGAAAGTTATGTGTTGTGGCACCGAAGCAAAAAACAAATAAGTAAAAAAGGTACCAGTTGCTGTCCAGTTTCCTCTCTAATTCCAGCAGCTGCAGAAGCATAATTGACTCCGCTAAGTATGTCTCGGCCTCTAGCATTTGCATAGGGACGTATGTAACCGTTGAACCCCAAAAGCTCAGCTGTTAAATTTCAAGACAAATTGTTAGACAAGAGTAAAAGATTAATATCAGATTCAGAGTAAGTTAGTTTTTCTAGATGATGCTCTTTTTCCCTCTGTACTTGCCTTCTGCAGTCCAAAGACTATACCAGTACCAGACTGTCTTAAATTGCAAATTCAATGCAGCCAAACAAACCCATGTGCTTCATATTTGAGGGGTAGTAGACATACAACTAAAGTAAAATATTTAAACTGTCGGTACTTTTTAATAAATTCATAATAAAAAAATTTAAATAAATAGCATGGTACAAATAAAAAATTAAAACTAGAGTTTTGTAATGTAAAAAATAAAGTGATCACAAATATTTCTCACCAAGTTTTAGATTTGTTATGTGATTTTTCCATACTACTTTTTATTTATTTTTTTTGTATTTTTTTCTGATCTAATAAAAAGGTATAAATTTTTTATTAGGTCAATTTTTATAAGAGTAAAATAGTATTTTTTTTGAATCATAATTTCATACTTAAGGTGAAAATTAAACTCAATTTTTAATTAAAGAACATAAATATTAAATTACTTGAATTAATAACTATAAATTATTTTACTTTTTTGTATTTTTATTGGGAAGTGATAGCTGATAATTAAAGAGAGTTTATGTATCTTAAAGCCGTGCCTTTAAAGGTAACCTATATTGTGGTTAGAACTTTTGGCTAAATTAACATCAATGCATCATATAATTGTCTTCCAATCGGCCATTAAAGGTAATCTATGATTGAGTATAAGTTGCATTTAATTTACATATACCTGTCTTAACTATGGGTTGATAAACAGAAAAACCATTAACTTGTTGTATGCCCAGTACGTAAAATCTTAAAACAGTTAGATAAAGGTTTAAGGATGACGAGTAGATAAACAATATTCTTCTCAAGTAGCTTGCAATCTTGATAAGCAAACTAAAATGTTTGAATGTTAACAACCTATTAGTATTATATAAAGTGGAAAAATTAAAAGAAATATGCTTTAGAAAAACATGCTTAAATTATCAATAGGTATAAGTTAGTTGAGTAATATATGTACAAGTGTTGCAAATGTTATTGATACTAAGTTCATGTTAAAAGCAGGCTAGCTATTAAGAAACTTACTGACAACATCAACAGTGGTTTTGCCATTGGAAAACCTTCCAGTTGGGCCAGCAGGGAAGTCAATCCCATAAGGAAGGTAATTAGCTTTTGCCAATGAGTTGAGCTGGTTGTTGTTCCCATTATCCACCAAAGAGTCTCCAAAAATGAAGTAGCAAGGTACTTGCTGTGCAACTCCAACTCCACTCCACAAACCCACAACCACCACCGCTACGTGGATCATAATCCATTTCATAGATGCCATTGACACAACAACAAACTATATTTAGATGTGGTGGCTATGTATTTGTAAAAGTGAGCAAACAAAGCTATATATAGCAGTTGAGGGAAGAAGAAAAACCAAGCTTTTACAGTTGGGATATTAGTGTTATGAGCATTAAATTCACGCGGATATAATGTGAAATTCAATGACGACAATCCCACCATTAGCTACCATCACCTTTTTCTCTACTCTTTAATGTCCAATTAATTAATTGCGTTTCTCAAGTCATGGGAATTCAGGCATGACAAGATATATACATAAAACCATATCCATCTTTTGTTAAAATGTTTTTGCCAGAGAGAATAAATGACAGATAGGTTTTGAATGATATTTTCACAGCTAATGGCTTAATTATCGCCACTTGCCATTTTGCTATTTCAACATTTTAGCTGCGTATGATTGGTATAGTGAACATCACGCATCATCGATCTATCTATTAATTGGGCATGCCGTGCCAAGGAAACTATTAATCAAAGTTACTGTCACACAATAACCAGATCTAGGTTTAAAAAATAAGTTTGTACTCCATTAAAAGTGCCAAGAAAAATTCTCCTTTTCCAATGCCAAAATCATGATCCATCCATTAAGAATCAAGGCAGATAACTTCATATTTATGCACAAATGTGTTCATAATCACGTATGGCACGAGTGAATGTAGTAACCGAGAGAGTTTAATTTGTTTAAAATTAGATAGAAGTATTTCTTTAAAAAAATTCTATTAAAAATAAAGAGTTATTTCAGTTAAAAAAAACTCTAAAAAATATTTCAAAACTTATATCCAATCATATTCTAAATTTAAGTTACGGCTGCAAATATACCATTTTTGTCTTTGATGAAGCGAGACACTTTTTCCTTTCATAAACAAAGTTATTGGCGCGTTTAATCGATAATGTTTATAGAAGATTGCAGATACTCCGATATGAATCACAAATCAACGTCAATCATTTTCTTCCTTCCTTCCTTTCATGATAAAACTGCAAGAACTAGTCTAGCTAGCTTATTTCCTTAAAATTAAATAAAAATAACAAAAAGAATAATTAAAATATTTAAATATAGTTTTAAAATTGTAGTTTGTATTTTTTTGTTATACTTGCCGTTAACATATTTAATCAGTAATAAAATGTATTTATACTTTAAAATTTTGTATTTATTTTAATAATTTAAATGAGTAAAAATATAAATTTATAATTTATTATTTTATATTTATTTTAACATTAATCTCTAAAATTAAGAAAGTTTCAAATAAGTTCTTAAAAGTGTGATGCATCAATCATATTAATTAGCCTAAAATTTTTAAAAGTACAATTTAAGTGTTAATATTAATATATCTTTTGAGATCAAAATATAATAAATATTAAATTTAAAGACTTATATTTGAAACAATTGAAAATTTTAGAAATTTATTTATAATTTCTTTAGTTGTAAGGATCGACATTACAACAACTAATTATACTTGGACTAAAATGACGATTTTTTTTTCTCTCTATCATATTATTTATCTTATTTAAAAGTTCTGCCTCCTCTCTTTTTATCTTTTCTTAGTTGTAAAAATGTATAAAATAGTTGTATAGAAGACAGTTTTCAATACTTTCAGCGAAAAAAAAACTCAAGACTAAATACCAAGATCACTCCCTAAAAGAATAAATTTAATTGACCCAAACCCAATTTAGTTTTCAGAGAAAAAAAATGATTGAATAATATCTCACAAGTCTACAAATTGAGTCTTATATAATAGTTCATCCATTTTAGCTAATATTTTAATTAGGAACCATTTTCGGTCATGACTAAATATTTAGTAAAAAAAAAAGAAAATTGAAAGAAAAAATGTTTCACATTTATAATTAATATTTAATTAAAATCTAAAGTAAATCGGATAATTATTTTTTCAAAAGGTCCTTTGAAAGAGTTTATATATATCTTATTTAAATTTATATTGTAAGTGTTTGTTTGTGATGATGTTTGAAAGATTTTATGAAAATATCTTATGATTATTCAATAATATGTATTTAACATTTTTTTTAGTTCTACAAGATAGCATATAATAGTTATTTTTAAATATTTGTATATTTAATCTAATTAGTAATATTATTGGCTAAATTTATATTTTATAAAAAATTATTAAAAGTGTCATTTCGCTAATTTGATAAAATAATGTCAATGGACCCAAGTTCCAATCCTTGTATATAATGTTAGTAATTAATAATTTAGCTAGTTTTCAAATTCATAATCCTTTTTTTTTTATCATGATTCAATTTTTTAAAATTATTTTTAAAGTGAAATAATATTTATATAAGTGTTTATCAATATAAACACTTTAAAATTTGTAAGTACTTATTGTGATACTTTCTACCCCGCATGTATAATTAAATAAATATAATAATCATGAAAAGAAAATATGGTACTGGAATGACTTCAACAAAAGATAAAGAGTATCACGTTTGAAATTCAAATAAAACTAAAACAACTACAAACTTAAAGAAGATATGTTTTATAGAAAGCAAACTATAATTTTTAAAACATAAAGCATGAAACGTAATTTAGGATCATCAATATCACAGGTATTAGAGTTGTCCCTTCAATCAACTAGACTCCCTAAAAAAGAAAGTCTCTTGCCACATATAAAACATCCACAAGGAGAATATGGGAGTGAAAACATATCTCACTCTGACTACTGATATAGAATAAGGTTGGGTATCAATACACAATATTATATAAAACCAATAATTTTCTTATTAAACCATACAATAATTTCAACTCAGTTTCTATCTCATTCCATCATGACATCAATCAAAATACAATTCAAACATAAGCAAAATGTTATGATATTATACATAAATTAGACTCCCCTAAACTATATGCATGTGACGCCAGTAAAACACATTTATCCTTGCCTGAAAGGCTAAGTAATATAGGAGTACGTACATGTTGGGTCAAGTCATCACAATACTCTCATTAGAAGTATATGTACTACTAAGATCTCGTTGGGATAGTCAAGTTGTGCAAGATACACTCATGCACACAATGGACAAGAACGGGGCTTCCCAAACCAAATTATTCCCAAATATTAATCTCCAAACTTTTATACAAAGAAATCTTTATAGCGGTGTATTTTGCATTGTACCCATCACAAAAATACAAATGTATATAATACATGACATTCAAGACTCAATGCATTTATCACGCATAATCACTTATCACTTATAATTCATAACACATCATGTTTTGTCATTGATCATTTTATCATTTCACAATTCATCACTCATTACTTTATCACTTCACAATTCATCACTCATCAATTTATCACTTATTATAATCACTTAAGTACACAGATTCTCTCACGCATAAGAACTAAGTTCAAATACATGGTCGCACTTGGTGAGACACACCTATGAGGCTGAGCCTCTGGATGGAATTATGCCTAACGTGGTCCTCCCTGCACTCGACAATATGCATCTAGAGAACTTTTGGAACCCTCACGCTGGGCGTGACTATACTCATGTTTGATTTCAATAATGTTACAAGTATTTTTGGACTTCCATGCTCAGCAAGGTGAAACTCATACCCGACATGATTGAGGTCGGAAGTATTCTATTACCTACACTCGATGAGCCCAAGCTGTCACTCAACACAGTATTAGTAAACAAGTTTTTTTTCATAATTTACAATTTTTCAAATATAAAGCTCCTACGATTTCTACAATTTTAACATGTTAAACAGGGTTCCTATATATCCTTTTATTGTAGCACTCCCTGCGTTTACTTTTTCCTCTGCTTTTAGTGCTCTGAAGAAAATGGAAAAGAAAAAGTACAAAACTTTGAATTTTCGAAAGGTAAATATTTAATGCTTGCAGATATATGGATGAAGGGGGAATCCAAAGATAAAAGTCGACAACAAATTAAACCAAATGAATCCAATGGAAGACAGCTTCATCCCTCTAAGTCGCTATATCCTCCATTTATAATTATGAATATAATGAATTTTGTTTAATTTATTTTTAGAAATTCATTTTTTAAACACTTTTACTAAATAAGATGTGCAAACGCTGTAATTGAAATAATGTTCTGGAACACATTCATGTGAATTATCTTATTTTCGCTTCAATTATGAAAATTATTACTACGAGTAATATATATCCTTAAAATAATGACGGTAAGGTAATGAAAATCATGACGTTTTATGGGTTTATACCATAATATCACCAAGTATCATTCATTATAGATACCAACCCATGGGTCCATACACAACAAAGTTATTGATTGTTTCAAATATTTAATATAATTATACATATTTAGTACTCGAATTTAAAATCTCTAGTTAAAATGTAATATAACTCCATGTTACTTAGTTCACGCACAAATTAACAAATTGTTCCGTCGATATAGAAAGTTCAATCACCAACCCATTAAAGAAAGAATACATAGTTCCTCTCATAGAAACATATGTAGATGATTCCTTAACGATGTGTTTGGACGAAAATTTTTAATTTTAAGAAATTTAAAATTTTTAGAATTTAAATTATTTTTTAATTTTCATTTATGTCATTTTTAAATACTTTGTTTAGACAAATCAATTCAAATTGTTAAAATTTTTAATTTTTGATTTGGATAGAGCAATTTAATTTCTATCATGGATAAAATTGAATTTACACACACGTATACACACAAATTTTAAGATTTAATTTTATAATACTAAATATTAACCAATTTTAAATATTTAATAATTTTTAAAATAACATTATACAATATTCAAGAATTAAAATAAACTTTTTATATTTTTATGTCAATTTTGAAAAGAAAAAAAAAAAGAGAGAGGAAGGTAAAAAAAGAGAGAGAAAAACAAGAATTTCAAATTCTTACTTTTTTTTAGAGAATTTAAAATTTTACAATTTTAAGAAATTTCATAAATAATTGAATTTCAATTTTTTTTTATAAATTCTTCATTCAAATAAAATATTTTATGTTTAAAATTTTTTGAAATTCTTCAAAATATTAAATTATTTTATTAAAATCTTCCATCCAAAAACACACTTTAATTTTTGACTTATTTTGTCCACTCATGAAAACATATTATCAATATGAAAATCTTTTGAAACATATATTACACTTTTATGATAAACTAACATTGGGTATCGTAGTCAACCTTTAGTGTTAGCAGACAACTCAACAACACCGTTGATCCACAACTTTGATAGATAAACAATCTAGCTTAAATCTTAAAACTTAATAGAGATAAAGACACTAAAAAACAGACCTAATATTGGTCAATATTTAACAATCTAAATGAGTACATATATAACCTCTTAATTTCTAAGTCTTTATAAAGACAAATAGATTGGAATGCATATACAAACTAAGATGGATCAATGCCTATAGGGGTATAAATATTTTATAAATGAAAGCTTTGCATTTTGAATAGAAGCTGAAATATTTGTTGAATTATAATTATAAAAAAAAAATACATCTCATAGTTACTATTCTTTTAACAATTGATAAAAAAAAACAAAAATAGGGAGTAGTACATGGCTTGAGATGGTGGGTGTATGGCTTGGAAGTTGTCAACTAAACATAAATATTAGTAGATAGTGAGATTTAATGATTTTGGCCGTAGTACCGACTAAGAAGGGTTGAAGAAATATGCTATTGTGCATTTAAAGCAAAAAGTCTAAAATCTTTGGTCAAGTTAGCTAAACTCTCCATGCAGCTTTGAGCAAGTTGTACGTTGTTGACATTTGCGTCGGTGTTATACAATTGCACTGCACTTCAACCGTGTTTGTCTCCAGCTCAATATAAAATAACATTCGTCTGCACTTTACAGCTAATACCCTAACAGGGACTATCATTTTTTTTCTTTTTTTCTACGAGCAATATTTATGACATAGTTGACCTTAGCGACAAATAAATCAATAAATGAAAACCTTTTTTTTTTTTTAATTAAAGTTAAAATGTATTGAAAATTATGATATAAATATATTAATAAAAGCTTTTAATAAAAATATTCTATTCTAAGCTCTTTAATAATTGTTTATTTGTCTCGCAATGTTTTTTTTTTTTCATAGACAATATTATTCCAGATATTTTTAGGTACTAAATATAAGCATTTCGTACAATGCAAAATTGAATTTTGATTCACCATATTTACAAGAGAGTAACACTTTCTAGTAGATTCAACCATCATTAGTTTCTTGCAGAAAATTGGGCCGGCCCCAGAGGTTAGAGGAGTGATCATTCACTTCCACATGTTTGAGAGACCAAAAAAATAATTCGAACAATTTTAATATGAAGAAAAAAAAATTTATTTCTCTTTATAATGACACTTAAATTTTACCTTATTTTTTAAAAATTAATTTTCAATTTTAACTTATCACAATAAAGTTAATGAAATTTCAATTTATACTAAAATATTAAATGCATATTCACAAACATGATATTTTGTATCTATATTTATTTAATTAGAAATATGAATTAAATGAGTTTTTAGTTTTTAAAATATTTTTTTTATGTTTTTAGTTTCTATAAAAAAAATCGTTTGTTTTGGTCTTTAGAGAATCTCATTTTACGATTTTAGTCATTCTAAATTTATAAGCTTTTGATTGCAGACGTAATTTATGTTATTTGTTTTTATTTCACACCAAGTAGCAAACGTCTTTATAAAAAGATTGTTTAGACCCAATTTTGAATTTTTTTTATAAGCAAGCAAGTTGGACATGTTAGCTATTTATATACCAACATGAGGGGATGTCAACCAATAATAGTATGTAGTTTTATTTTAAATTTCAGATAAGAACTCTAGAAAATTTAGGAAGATAAGATAAAAAAACAAAAAACAAAATATCCAAATCTAATTTAATTTGAGTATCCCTTATTTTGTCCTTATAGTGTCCTTATATTTTATCTTGTAATTACGGTAGTTATGAATTTATTATCTCTCTTAAGTTCCCAAACATCTGTCGAATGTATAATTTTTCATGTAATTTTTCAAAATGACTTCCAAAAAATATATGTATAATTTTCTGGTCCTAAAATTGACATTACAATGAGTTACTGTTGCACAACTTATTACCACTAGCTACTAAAGCTTATTGGCATTGATAGAGCAACCCTATGGCTATGTTAAATTTGAGCTAAGCGATTGATATCAATGGGGTAAGCATCCGATTCAGATTGAGCATTGTAAGCTCTCCTACCAATAACACTATTGGCAGCCTCAGTTAGATGAAATGCATCCCAAAACAGAAACTCATTCCTGTTCCAACATGGGGGTTGCAGAGGTAAACACGTTACTTCACCATTGTTCCTTCCTACGCTACAACACCCTTCATTTGTCACTCTAATACCTGAAAAATCCAAGACCACCAACTATGTCAAAAGTTTGATTCTCAACAAAATAGCAAATATCCTAGGCATGCATCAAGTAATTACCAAAGGATGATGGGTTTCTTATGATGTCTTGAACGATGCCACTAACGTTTATGTAGATGAATCTTGCACCCGATAGCTGGTTGTTGAGTTGATCAACAAGAGATCTCAATCCATTGTTGAATAATTGGGTTGCGGAATTGATTCTCGCCACGCACGTTCTACCATCTGGGCTGTTTTGGGCCAATGCAATTGGGCTGCATCCTATTGGACCAAGCCCAAATAACGCAATTTTCCTTGCCCCGTAGTTGTACATTATCTGAATGAGAAGCAGAAAACAAGTAAGCTAGAGAAGAATCAATCATTTGAGAGTGAAAGTGAAATAGAAGAAGCATAAAGTAACCCTGAGTTGTTGAGCATATTCTTGGGTGAGAACATTAGCGTACTGTTCTGGTGTGAATTGCCTGCTACTGGAATAGAGTTGAGACATGAAATAGTTGTTAAGGTAATCATTGCTACCCAAATCAATTGAATAAATGCACTTGCTTAGGTAATCTAATGTTCTTCTCTCATCCCCCAGGAAATTTAGCATTAGGGACACCGTCCTTAGGTAATTTTGCACTTGCTCTCTAAAACTCATTCGCCCTCCCTGCAAAAATAATTATATTTTTCTTTTATCTATACAAATTACATTCACAATAAATAAAAAGGTTGGAACCTAAAATTCTAAGAAAATACCAGGTGTTGTCCTGTTTCCTGTCTAATTCCGGCAGCTGCAGAAGCGTAATTGAGTCCGTTAAATAAGTCTCGGAATGTAGCTCTTGCATAGGGACGTACGTAACCGTTCACCCTCAAAAGCTCAGCTGTTAAATTTCAACACAAATTGTTAGACAATATATACTATAATAAATTGTGCAACAGTTAAAATTTTGAGTATGAAAAATTATATAAGAATAATAAAGAACTTGATATTTTAGTTTAAAATAAAATAAAAAAATAAAAATAATTATCATAATGATATTAAACATATTAATGATAGAAATTAATATATAGATAACCTAGTTAGTATAGTTTATTAGATATTTATGATCTAATAACATGAAATAATCTGATAAAGTAATTTATAAGATGAATTACTAAAAAGTAATATTATATTAGATATATCTATTATAAATAATCTTGAGAATATTTTTTATATCATAATAATTTTACAATAAAAAAATACTTAAATAAATAATCGAGAACATCATTTTTTTTTTTTTTTTGCTTCCTTAAAGACCTTAAAAAACTTAAAGTCAGTCTTGAACTCAACCTCATCCCTATTAAATTGAGACTCACATATTTTATTAAAAAAATAGTTTACTTATATATATATATATATATAAAAATTATAAAAATGAATTATTAATATTTTTAGAAAAGCAGACAAAATTAAGAAACTGACCGAGTACATCACTGATGGTTTTGCCATTGGAAAACCTTCCAGTTGGGCCAAAGGGGAAGTCAATCCCATAAGGGAGGTAATTGGCTTTTACCAATGACCAAAGCTGGTTGCTGTTCCCACTATCAGCCAAAGAGTCTCCAAAAATAAAGTAGCAAGGTGCTTGTTGTGCACCTCCAACCCCACTCCACAAACCCAAAACCATTACCACTACCCCTATAATATTCATATTCCAAGATGCTCTAATTAATTCAATCAACAACAAACTATATATATCTTCTGTAAGAGTGCACAACTGAAAGGATATTGAGCAACTTCTCAACTCAGCAAAACTATATATAGAAGTAGAAGGAAGGAAGAGAATTAAAACACCAAGCTTTTACATTTCTTCTTGTGAGCATTAGCATATAGCAAGGTACCACTTAGACATATAGCAAGGTACCACTTAGACATATATAACTACTACTTGGTTTCCTATTTAAGTAATGTAAATGTGATGATGTAAATAATTAATTTTCTTATTTTATCAATAATAATTGTACTTTTAACAACTCTCTTTTCTTTTTTTTTTTTCGTAAGTCATGTTTTTTAACATGGTATCAAAACGATACCACCCACTTTAAAAGAGAGCTTTTCATTCTACTTATGAAGCTGCAAAACTCATTTTTGTTAACTTTCCTCTGTTTTCCTTTACTTTCTAAACCTTTTTTCATGCATGAATTAAATAGCAATAGTAGACCGATGTTGTTGTTGTAGTGCACACAATTCCAATCTTGGATAATATTTCTAGCACGCTCGAAGACAATAGTGAGGGTACGATTAACACTTCCAAATATTGCTATTCTTTCTCCACCTTGTGTTGTATGATAATTATTAATTAAACATTGAGATTCTGATTTTGGCTTATGAATATTAAACGCTAAAGCATCACATTTAGTTTTAGTACTTGATAGTTAAATTCCAATAACTTTTGTCTTTTTTATAAAGTCAAAACAAACATATTTTCTAAATCATAGAAAATTGATAATGAAACATATTTTTCAGAAAATAAAAATAAAAAAACATTTTCACTAATGGCTCTAAAATATCCCACATTAATAATCTTGAAGAATAATTTGATGACTTTTGTCTCTTTAAAAACTAAATTAGGTTATATATTCTTTCATGGACTAAATTTAAATTTATTTTTGTAAAAAATTAATGAATATATCATTTTACAAAAGTTCATACTTAATCAATTAATTTTCTCTCTTTATATTTGTCTATGTAAGTTATAATAATTATCTTCTTTTATAGGCGTTTACTTTTTCTCCGCTGTAATTAGTGCTCCACAGAAATTGGAAAATGATGGAGTACCAAACAATGTTGCAATGGAGAATTGAAGTTTGCATGTACCTGCAGCAAGGGGAATTCGAACCTAAAAGTTGACAATAAAATTAAGTTGCTATCCTCCATTTATTAATGATATTTCTTTCGTTTTATACAGCATTTTAAGAGATTTTGAGTAGCATATAAAAAATGCAAAAAGTATGAGAAAAAATAGATAAAGACTTCAAAAAAATATAATTTAGTTGGTTTATTTAGAATGAACGGGTAAATTTAATTAATACCGTATTGAATTTCTATGAATAAAAAAAAAAGTGGTCGCACAATACACCACGATGCAATGACATGTCGATGATGAAACAGATTTTATATTACTATGTATAAATTAGGAAAATGAGTTTTATTTTATTTTTTTTTACATTTTTCTCTCTCTTTATATGGTCAAGAATCGTACCCTCAATAATGTGCTGTTTGTAGATAATCAATCTAAACTATGTCTCTTGCATTAAAATTTTGAAATGATTACTATATTATAATTACTAATAAAAAATTATACTTACTTCTTTTAACAATAAAAAGTATAGTTTAATTTTTATGTAGAATATGTTTTCAGGTAATTTTTTTTAAGAATCAAATTAAAAGTTTGGTTTTTTTTTGGTACATAAATTAAAATTTTTGTTTGGTTTTCTTTTTATAAAAAATCAAATCTAAAATGTGTCTTGTTATTATTATATTTTTTATTTATAAAAATAATCTTAATTATGAGTCTTTTTCTCTAAGCTCAATAAATTGTAGACGAAATATATTAATGTTTTAGGCTCGAAGTCTAACTCTGCCTTGTGTGGAGAAAATTTTAGAAACCTTATTTTACCCCTTTACATTTATAGCCATGAAAGTAAAATGAATAAATAAATATATTATTAATGAGAGAAATTAAAAAATAAATATTTGGAGAAAAATTTGTATCTCATTAATATTAAGGGTGATTTAAAAAAATGTAAATTTAAGATAAATTTAATGTTATTAATTAATTTTCTTAATCATTATAAATCAACTGATTGTATCTAATAATAAAAGATTGGTGGGATAAAAATTTGAAATTAAAAACTAACTAATCGAAACTTATTAGCGTAAGTAGTTTGATATTTATCATTAAAATATTTGACCCTCAATTTAGACATAATGTTAAAATTAGATATATCACTGTTTTTATTAATAAGAATTATAATGATAATAATAAAATTTAAACTTAAAAACTTGGTAGTTTATATACTATTTCAAACTTCTAAATAAGTCATAAAATATACTACTTTACCTTTAAATGAGTCAATTAAATGGATGGATTATTTTCTCTTAATATTTGATAATAAAAAATTAGAGACTAGAACTTGAGGTGGTCGGTCGATGGGTTGGAAGTTGTCAACTAAACATAAATATCTGAGTGGATGATCAAATTTAATGATTTCGGCTGTACATTGACTAACAAACACAAGCTTGGATTCTCAGAATTAAAACGTAAACGATTTTAATCTTTCTAAGATATCTTTCAAATATCGCTCCATGAACTATTTTTTTTATTAGAGGGAATTACTTTAGCCAGACTAAGATTAGAATTTAAGACTTATGAATTAAGAATTTCTTATGAATTAAATAAAATATTATTTTTTTAAAATTTCAAGACATAAATATATTTATTTTTTCGTTTGATGTTTTTCTTCGTAAAATATTTGGAAAATTTTATATAAGAGAATTTGTAAATAGATATAATCAAAGGACAACCTAACCTAAAATATATATATATATATATATATATATATATATATATTACGTAAAAAAACACAAATAATTTTTATA